CAAGCCGCGTGTTGATCGGAGCATCCACGCGCCGGTGGAAGTCTCCGGCGGCCGAACCACTGTTCCGGCGCGTGAGCCACCGTCCGGCCACCGTTCCAGGCCGGACCACCACCATCTTGCTCGCTTCCTCACCCTCTTTCCAGATCTGGTCTCCGTTCGTTGTGGGTCCCATCCGTTTGAAAGATATCAGTGAAAAACCCGCTGTTTGGACACTTTTGTGCAACGTTTTTGCGCGATTTCTTGCTTTCTTGTAGTTCTTTGCTATTTTTTGGTCATCTCCTTTTATTTTGTGATGGAGGGCTCAAATAATGCGTCCAAAAACACGACTGGCATCATCTCCAGTACTACCCAATCTCCATTCTTTTCTCGGGCCACTGATTCCAATTGGAACAGTGTACGCGGTCGCAGACCTGGCCGCAGACAGAGGCCTCGTTGCAATTATTGCCAGAATCTTGGGCATTTTGAAGAACGCTGCTATAGGAAGTACCCTCATTGGAAGCCATCGACTGCCAACTTTGCTCAAACTGATGTTACGCCACCTTTAACTGGATTAGTAACTCTTTCAAGTGCCGACTATGAGGCACTTCTCAAGAAGGTTTCTTTTTAGCATCCTACTCAAGACACTGGTAATCATGTTGCTTGTTTTTATCAATCATCTCTTGGACCCTGGATAATAGACTCAGGTGCTACTCATCATCTTTGTGGTAATAAAGATCTCTTCACTTCACTTTCTTATTCTAATAACCTACCACCTGTCACTCTTGCTGATGGCACTAAGGCTCCTGCTCGTGGAATTGGGGAAGCCAACCCAACTCCCCTTTTAACTTTGAGTTCTGTTTATTATATACCTGGCATTCCTTTTAATTTAATCTCTGTTAGCCAGTTGATTCATTCTCTTTCATGTACTATTACCTTCTCTAAACAATTCTTTTCTATGCAGGATTCGGGTACGGGGAAGACGATTGGAGCAGGCGTTTTGAGTCACGAGGTCTCTACTATCTGATTGCACCACCTTCTCCAGTAGCCTGTTCTCTCACAGAGTCTCCTGAGCTAATTCACAGTCGTTTGGGTCATCCAAACCTCTCCAAGCTTCAGCATATGGTTCCCTTTTTATCCAATCTTAAGTCTTTAAACTGTCATTCTTGTCAGCAAGGAAAACACACTCGCTCCTCCTTTGCTAATAGAGTCAATAAAAGAGCTGATGCTCCTTTTTCTATTGTTCATTCTGATATTTGGGGTCCGAGTCGAACAACGTCTGTCTTGGGTTTTCAGTATTTTGTCACCTTTATTGATGATTTCTCCCGTTGCACTTGAGTTTATTTAATGAAAAATCGTTCTGAGTTATTTTCAATTTATCAAAAGTTTTGTGCAGAAATAAAAACTCAATTTGGTGCTTCTATTCAAATCTTGCGCAGTGATAATGCAAAAGAGTATGTGTCTCTTGAATTTTCTAAATTTTTGGATACACAAGGGGCGATACACCAGACTACCTGTCCCCACACTCCACAACAAAATGGAGTCGCTGAACGTAAAAATAGACATCTAGTTGAAACTGCACGTACCCTTCTCATTCATATGAACGTCCCACTCCGTTTTTGGGCAGATGCTATTATCACCTCATGTTTCCTTATCAACCGCATGCCCTCTTCTGTGCTAAATAATGATGTTCCCCACAATATTTTGTTTTCCGGAGCACCTTCTTATCCTCTGCCTTTACATATTTTTGGCTGTACTTGTTTTGTTCATGATCTTACTCCAGGTAAAGACAAGTTGACATCCAAGGCCTTCAAATGTATTTTCCTTGGGTATACACGTTTTCAAAAAGGGTATCGTTGCTATTCTCCTGATCTCAAGCGTTATATCGTTTCTGCTGATGTCACTTTCCTTGATCAGCAGCCTTTTCACTCTACTCCGTTTCCAGTGTCCCAAGTTGATCAGGTCCTTCCTGTTCCTTTTCTTGACTTGTCTTTACCAGCTGCAGGTGACCTTATTCCAGAGGAGCAACCAATTACCTCCATACCTGCAGATCGTCCTCTCCTCACATACCAGCGTCGTCAGCCTGCACCTCCTCTGACTTTGCCTCTTGATGACTCATCGCCCTTTCCCATCGGCTCTTCTCCTCCGGATCCTCCATCAGAGACTCCTCCCATTGCCCTTCGGAAAGGTATTCGATCCACTCGAAATCCTCATCCCTTTTATTCTTTCTTGAGTTATGACAGACTTTCTTCACAACATTTTACTTTTGTTTCTAGTCTCTCTTCTGTTTCCATCCCTAAAACCACAGGTGAAGCACTATCTCATCCAGGGTGGCGCCAGGCGATGCTTGATGAAATGCAGGCACTTCACTCCAATGGCACTTGGGATCTTGTTCGTGCTCCTCCCGGGAAGTCTGTTGTTGGTTGTCGATGGGTGTTCACAGTTAAAGTTGGTCCTGATGGCACTGTTGATCGCCTCAAAGCTCGCTTAGTGGCCAAGGGATACACACAGATCTTTGGTCTTGATTATGGGGATACCTTTTCTCCTGTTGCTAAGATGGCTTCTGCTCGCCTGTTTCTTGCCCTTGCCGCCATTCATCACTGGCCCCTTCTCCAACTTGATATTAAGAATGCTTTTCTACATGGTGACTTGCAGGAGGAAGTTTATATGGAGCAACCACCAGGTTTTGTTGCTCAGGGGGAGAGTTCTGGAATGATATGTAAACTTCGGAAATCTTTATATGGCCTGAAGCAATCTCCTCGGGCCTGGTTTAGCCGCTTTAGTTCAGTTGTTAAATCCTTTGGCTTAATCAGAAGCAAAGCCGATCATTCTGTCTTTTACCGGCATAGCTCTTCTGGCCAGTGCGTTTATCTCCTGGTCTATGTTGATGACATTATCATTACAGGCAGTGATCAGACCGGGATTGATCAGTTGAAAGAGCATTTATTCAATCAATTTCAGACCAAAGATCTTGGCAGACTTCAATATTTCTTGGGGATCGAAGTTGCACAGTCTAGGCGGGGCATTTCCATCTGTCAGAGGAAGTATGCACTGGATATCCTAGATGAGACTGGCATGTTAGGCTGTAAACCCATTGATACACCTATGGACCCCAATGTTAAGTTATTACCAGGACAGGGGGAGCCACTGCCAGATCCTAGTCGCTACCGCTGACTAGTTGGAAAATTGAATTATCTTACTGTGACAAGGCCAGATATCTCCTTCGCAGTCAGTGTTGCAAGTCAATTTCTTGATTCTCCCTATGACTCCCATTGGGATGCAGTTATTAGAATTCTCCGATATATTAAAAAGGCGCCAGGAAGAGGTTTATTATATACAAATAAAGGGAGTTCAGAGATCTCTAGTTATTCAGATGCTGACTGGGCAGGTTCTCCTTCAGATAGACGATCCACCTCAGGGTATTGTGTTCTCTTCGGAGGAAATTTGATCTCTTGGAAGAGTAAGAAGCAAACTGTGGGCGCCAGATCCAGTGCGGAGGCAGAATATCGGGCAATGGCAAATGCAACCTGTGAGCTCATCTGGCTGAGACAATTGCTGAAGGAACTCCATCTCTGTGAACAAAAGCCTATGAAGCTCATTTGTGACAACCAAGCCGCTTTGCATATATCCTCTAACCCAGTCTTTCATGAGAGGACCAAGCATATAGAAATTGACTGTCATTTTGTTAGAGAAAAGATCCAGTCAAGGGAGATCGAGACAGCATTTGTCAATTCCAATGATCAACTTGCGGATGTATTCACTAAAGCTCTTAGAGGTCCCCGAATAGATCATATTTGTAACAAGCTGTGAGCTTTTGATATATTCGCACCAGCTTGAGGGGGAGTGTTAGAAATAATATTTATTTATTATTATTAGAATAGTCTAGATTGTGGGCTTGGCCCATTAGGTCATCCCATTAGGTCTTTTAGTCTCTATAAATAGAGAGCCTCCTTGTACAGACTTACACACTTGAATATACAATATATTTCAGATTCAATTGTTTCATTCAATCTCTGTTGCTGCTGTTTCATTCAGTGGATATCTTCTGCTGTTGTTTTGTTCTATGCTTGCTGACTGGTTCAAACTGCCCCTGTTCCTGTTGATTTCTCTTCTGCTGGTTTGGTCTCCGTTTTCGTTTTATGTACGTGTGTATATGACCTTCTTATGGTGGTTCAATTAAATATTAGTAATGATCTAAAGCTTATTTTTCTTATATATATATATATATTATGTCCTAGGTAGTATGATCATATAATTTATGTTACTATCGTGTGATTTGTGTTTCCCTCCCTCTTCCAATCCTATGATTTGTATCCTATATATATCTCTTCCGCTGGTTGGTCTTGACTCTTTGTTTTAGTTTTATGTGTGTGTGATCTTCTTATATATATAAGAAAAATGAACTTTAAATCATTACTAATATTTAATTAAACGTAAGATTTTGTACCCTAGGTAGGTGTTACGATCGTATTATTTGTGTTTCCCACTTTCCCTCCCTCTTCCAATCCTAGGCAGGGTCTCGATTTTGACTACCTTGGTTTGTTTTATGCTATGTTGCAACCTTTATAGTTAGGATTTCAATATTGGAAATTATGATGATCTGATTATATAAATTTGTGGCCTAGCTTTCTTGTCATGCATTTATTGTTTAGTCATGATTTAGTAACACCTCTGTTCATGGTTATAGAAGTAAGGAAGATTTCATGTAAGTATTAATGTAATTATTATCTTATGTTGTACTTACTGCCTTTCTTGTATTGTGATGTACACCAGCCATGTTATTTTGGGGAAGTCACCCTATTGTCTGTCAACTGTCTTAGATTATTTTGAATAAAAGTAGGCAGGTAGCTAATATTGTCATGAGACTTATGATCTGAGTGTTTTGGGGAGGCAGGTAATCATTGTCAAGGTGCAGTTAAATATTAAGAATATTATGATCGTCTTATGCTGGGTTGTAATATACTCCAAGTAGCTTATAGACAGCTTTTCACTTTTTTTTTTAAATAGCTTTGACGTTTTTGTAGTTGACGCCGGAGTAACAGAAATACCAAGATGGACCAACAAAACCAAAATAACACTCCAGATGGTTCAGGAGATGTACCTTTGAAGCGCAAACGTGGTCGTCCCCGGAAATATCCAAGGCCAGATTCAGAGGAGAGTTCCTATATCCTACTTAGTCAAAGTAAAAAACAGAATCCTGTTCGTGTTGATCAAACACCAGTACCTCCTGGATTTGATGGGGTTAATGGAAATCAACACCTTCAAAGGGGTCAAGACCATGATTCAAATGATGCCATGGTGGGTCAGGCAGTTTCTGGTGTAATTGAGGCAGTATTTGATGCTGGATATTTGCTCAGTGTTAGAGTTGGTGATTCTGATACTACTTTGAGGGGGCTAGTCTTCAAGCCTGGACGTTATGTTCCTATTTCACCTGAAAATGATGTGGCTCCAGGTGTTCCAATGATCCGAAGAAATGAGATTCCGTTCCCTTCAAGGACTACTCAGTTTCAGACTCCTCCCCCAAAGGAAAGGAATGAACAGCCTCTGAATGTTCATAGAATTGAAAATCTCACAATGAATGGGTCACCATCAGTCTCTCAGGCGCCTAGAGTAGCAGGTAGTACTAGTAACCTGGTTTCCTCTTTAGGAAAGAATGTGCCTTCTGTGGCAGGCCAAACCACTCATCAACTAGCCCGAGGTAATGTGGTGCCTGTTGTGCTCGCACCTAATAATTTTTCAAATGGGATGCCAGTTTCTAATCAACCACCACAAGTCACCACCCAAGTTTCTCTAGGGAGTGGAGTAATTGTTACCAAAGAAATTCCAGTAGATGGAAATCAAGCACTTATTTCTCATACTCAAACTAGCCAGAATATGTTGTCAAGTGGCATGCAAAGTGAAGTTGTTCAGCACAATCAATCTTCATCTAATGTGCCAAAAGATGATGCCAAGTCAGTGAGTGCGCCTTTTGAGCAGCTTGTTACTGAAGTTGTTAAGAGGATCCAAGCTCCATCAGATGCCATGGATACTGATACTGACAACAGCAAGTCAGGTGACAATATAGTAGTGAAGGATCCCAGCAGTAGGCAGGAAGACAAAGTTAGTGACATGGATCAACCCGTCTTGATTAAGCCTCTGCAAGCAGTACAGTCTTATCCTCCGGAAAACTCAGCATCTGCTCCGAAACCTTTGGATTATACTGAAACTGGCAAAATGGCTGAACTTTTGCAGGTAAAACAAAGGATTGACTTATTTATATTTATTAAGCATGTTAAAGCTGTTCCTTTTGTGACTGACAGATCATATGTTCGAATTCGGAAAACAGCCTCTTTGCAAAGCAAGGGTTAGGCTGCATATAAGGACTGCCCTACCTTCTACCCTCGCTATTTGGGTACCCTCGCTATTTGGGGTTTAATGAGAAGTGGTGGTTAGAGGGAACTTGGGTGATGGAAGAAACCAACACTTAGTTACCTTTTAGTATGTTATGTGCCTAAATTGTGACATATGTATTGATGTGCTATAATGTGATAAGGTTTTGCAGAATAACAAAACAGAGAACCATGCATCCAAAGCAGCAGAGCTAGGATCTGGAAACAAGTTGGATGACATAAGGAATTTAGGAACGGAACTTGAAGATGGTGGAACTGTTCAATCAACAAAGCCTTTCTGAGCATTGAATGCCTGATATATATATAAAATTTATCATTAGTGGCTATTGTGCCAGCAGGTTCATCTGTCATAAAATTGGCTAATGTCTGGCATAGTGGAATATTTAGGGTTTCAAGTTCCTATCTCGGATTTTAAATTATTTTATGCTTGTTTACATTTCTATTTACTGTTTTTAAATTAGAGACCCCACCTTTGTTGGATGTTAGTTATTTTATTCACAAAGCAATTGTTGTCCAAAACTTAATTTAATGGTTATGTCATTTTATCAGGCTTTAGCATTGTGTCCTTTCTGGCTCCATTATTATATTTGTTCTTATATCATTCTAATATACAGTGTTGTTTTTATTGCTTCTAGTTTTTGCTTTGAAACAGCATTGTGTTTTGTGTGATAGTTTTGTTCCCCGAGGTCCATGGGACATGAGTTAGAGAATTCCGCTTAACAGGACTTTAGTTTTACCTATTATTAAAAAAACTTTGGTTCTCATTGTGATGTTCATTTGGTTGATGGACTAAAAAAGTAGTGAAAGACAGTTTTTCTCCACTGTTTCATTTACCTCAATTTAAGAAGGATAGTAGTTGCGTTTATGATGAAAAGATTTTTATTTTTTATTAGAGATATACTTTGTTTGCACAATTTTTATGCGGGTCTAAATCGTCCCTCTGGAATTTAAATATTACACACGCTGTATATTTTTAGTTAATGTTCTGTCTAACATTACTAGTGTATGAATGGGGAATGACTTTGGTGGTACACATACTCATCCTATTAAATAATTTGTACTTTTATTGATGTGCCGATTAGCTGAAAAAGTAGTAGTTTTGCTTGTAACAAAAAGAAAGAAAAAGTTAAAGAAAATAACCATTGGGAATCAAGGATGGGTGCAATGGATTAAGGATCACGTTAATACTTCACAAGGCGAGTTAGAATTAAGGGATTTTTCTTGATCTGAGTGGAATATCACGTCTAATTTCATCTAAATTTTTATGTTAAAAAAAAAAAAAGAATACACAGAAACACACTCGATTTTACTAACGATGAACCAAAACTTAACTTTGTTATTTATATGCAGTAAATTATGTCCCCACTGGTCCCAGTCTGGAGCTGTAAAGTAATTTTTTCTATCTCTATCGATTTAATTTTCTTTATTTTTTTTAGATGAATTATAGTTATAATTTTCATTAATTTATAATGTAAAAAAATTATTATCAATAAATCATACTATATCACCGTAAAATATAAGGTTCACTCTGCTAAATTAGGAATTTTAAATAGCATTTAGGCCGATATAGATGAAAAAAATTACATGAGAAGTAAATGATGAGAAAAACATTAGGAGAAAATAATTTTAAAATAAACCACATATAGTTCAATTTGGGTCTCTTATATTGCTTAGTTATTCTTTTTTTTTTTTACTATCACTTTTGTACCATTGGAAACTTGGAACGTATGTATTTTAAAGAGAGAGAAGTAAGGGGGAGAGACGAAATCAATATGACATAAAGAGAGAAACAATAATTGTAAATTTTTTTTTTTTGCTAGACACAATAATTGTAATTTGTTAAAGAGAGCGGAAGAGAGAAAAACAAAATCTAAACGGAGAAATAAATAGATAGAGAAGTGTAACTGTTTTTTTTTTACTTATTGTAATTGGGATCATTGATTTAAATCAATGTAAAGATAATAAAAAAAATAAAAATGGTAAAAAGATTAAATAGGTAAATAATATAATCGCCCCTTTCAACTTTACCAGAGAATATATAGAAGATAAATGTATTCCTTGTTGACATCTCCCTTTGAGACGGAAAAGAAAAGGGGAAGGAACACAAAAGTGATCTTTGAGTTGAAAAATTGGACATGAAACTAAGTCATGCCGTCATGGAATTAGAATGGGACATTTTAATTATATTCATGTGTCTGGTGTATACATTCGAGTCCAATTTTATAAAATTTAAAAAGAGTAAACACCCTTTTTAGTCCCTGGCAATATCTACGAAGTCCTTTTCAGTCTCTGGCAATAAAAAAGGACCAAATTGGTCCCTGAAAGTACAAGAAAAGGGCCACTCTACATATTTGGGAGTTGACATAAGGACTAACATGGCCCTTTTTTTGTAATTTCAGGGACCAATTTGGTCCTTTTTTATAGCTAGGGAATAAAAAGGACTTCGTAGATATTGACAGGGACTAAAAAGGGTGTTTACTCATTAAAAAACAAGAAGTTAATATTATATCCAATTCTTAATCTAGATCACGAGAATTATGAGTTTATCAAAAATAAAACTCAAAATCAATATTTTATATTTAATTGTTCATTGTCCTTGTCACTAACATACTATTGTCGTTGGAAAATTTAGACAACTATTGATCCATGAATTAGTCATCCATTTATCTGAGCATTTCACGGCACCCCTTAGCCTCTTAGCTCTTTCATTGGAGACTATCATCCATGAATTCTTAAAGATGAGAGGACCGTAAGACTGGATCATTTCAGAGTCAATTTTTTGATACACAAGATCCCTTTGCAGGGCAAGTGTAGAGCATACTAACTTTCTCATCCAGAGATTAGTAATTATAGTAAGAACATTGTATTAAGTTTTCGAAGAGAAGATAAAACTCTTTAGAAACTCATAGGGAAACACACAAGCTTTTATTTCTTTCAAACTCGGTATGAGGATACAAGTAGGGGTGTTCGCGGTCTGGATTAGATCGGTTTTAGAAGTAAAAATCATCCGATCCAATCCCTTCGGTTTGATCATATAATCATTCATTCAGTTTTGATTTTTTTTCAAATCCGATCCGATTCAATCCAAAAATTTTCGGTTTGGATTGGATCGGTTTTTGGTTCTTTGAAAATCCTAAAATTCATTTTATGATTATTGTGCAAATAACATCTTTTGTATATATTGGCTTTGTAATTTTTTTTTTTGAATACAAAAGTATTAGTAAACTATAATATAATTTTTTTAATTTTAGCAATGAGATATGAAGCTCTACAAAGATAAAATTTTGTTGATGAGATATGATTAGATTTTTTTCTTGGGTTTAGTTGATGAGTTAATGAGTCTTGAGTTTAGAAATTTTTAGGCTATGATTAGGGAAATACCCAAGTAGGTAGAAGAAAATTAATATATTGGATCGGTTTTCATCAACCCATCCAAAAACCGATCCAATCCAATTAAAATTTGCGGTTTTTAATCGGTTGTTGGTTTTTCGGTTTTCGGTTTATTCGGTTATCGGTTTTTCAGTTCGGTCACCGCGATTTGAATCAGTTTGGATCGGTTGATGAACACCCCTAGATACAAGCACACACAAAATTTCCTTTTATAGACAAGGAAACAAGATAACAACAAGCATAGTGAATTACCCCTCACCAAACATAATTATACAATAAGACAAACAATTTTTTTAAAAGGTGTATTATTAGCACACTCTTTAATTTACAACCACACGTGTTCTTGTACTTCTAAACATCATCAGTAGTGTCGATACTAATGGACAAGTCGAGAGCTTTCCTTTCTTCTGCGTGGACCTCACCATACATCTCTTTCCACCAAGGTTTGTCTGTTTTGACCTTTTCTTCAATTATCTCAATCACGACATCAGCATTTGGGTCCATGACATCATCATCTATTGGATCAATAATCAGATCAATTTGCATTGGATCTAAGCCTTAGCAAGCAACTTTTTATCACTATAGCTGCTAGCATACTCGTATCACTGTGAGTGCCCTCCATTTGCCTTTGTTGACAACATCATCTAACCATCAATGTCCCTTGTGTTCTCCATTATATTCCAATTTAATTTAGAATAATGATTCCATATCTTGATTCTGTGTCAAACCCAAATTCTTTTCTTAATTTCAATTCTAACAAAATTAAAATTTCAATTCTATCATCCAAGTGAACACAAGGAAACTAGACAAATCAATTACTATCTTCATGCACCTTGAAAACCTTTGTTCTAATTAGGCTGCCGGATTCCTCTGTTTGGTAAAACTACAATATAATTAGCATTTTATCTTGTAACACTTTGAATGAAATATTTTTTCTCCATCAATATAATTTAGTATTAGACAGCGAAACATACAATATCAACCTCAGCCAAAATCCTTCCTCAACTTCAAAGATATGAATTGAACCTTGCCTTCAAGTGAGGACTCACAAAAACTTTTTTGTCTCAGTAAAAGTATACCTCTAAAATATCTAAAAATGTTGCCACAACAAAGCTACTGTACACTTTATCACAGAGAAAGGGAGACAAATGAGAGGAAATACAAAATTTTTATAACAATCAATCAAAAGAAAAGAAAAAGAAAAATGAGCATTAACTCAAAGAGAAAGGGACATGCTCACTAACACTAGAATCTGTATGAATGAGCGTGTTTTCACGAAAACTTAGTGCCATAGAAACCATTTGGTCCTGGGACTGAAACAGGTCTTGTTACAGGAAAGCCAGGTTGCAAAAGTGGAATGTGGCTTTGAAGTGCAAAGGGTTGCTGCCCACTTGTTAGGACAGGTGGGGCCACACAAACTGGCATTGCTTGACCAACTGTGCCTCCTCCTGCTTTTGGAAAATAGAACTATTAGCACCAAAGAAATGCAGATCCAGATTTTTCAATTTGGATGCTAAAATTGTTGGGAGTCTAAATGCAGTTCCAGACTTCCAGCATAGCTTCAATTACCATACGTTATAACATCCAAAAAGTAAAATTTATGAGATGATTATAAACTGTAGTGTGACTATTTCCATATGCATGCTAGAAAATGGGATAAAAGATATGAGCCAATTCATTCTCATCTACAATAAATGATACATCTTAAGCTAGCATGCAGTGCCAAAAAACTACAATTGTAACTGCTAACTTTATAAAGGAAAAAATTATCAAGATAAGCTAAGTTAGTGGTATAACATCAAAACAAAGCTTCAAATCCCCTCCTTAAGGTCAGCTTGGTGCTATAAAATTCCCACTATGAGTAGGGTCCAGGGAGGAAGGGTCAGATTTATTGTGTGGATCTATAGTAGGTGGCCTTATGTTGCATTTTCAAGAGGCTGGTTACACGAATCAAACCTATAACCTCCAGGCCACATGGCGACAACACCAACCACTGTGCCAAGGCTCCCCTCCTCCTTCTATAAAGGCACAATATAAAGCTAAAAACCTTTTAGTCTACAGGGAAAATGTGTTTGTTATTCATTGGCAGCGTAACTGAAGTATTCATAAAGATGGAAGAAATAACTTTAAAGATATTATTTTTCCTTCGAACAAAATAATCAGGTTTTCACCTTGCTGCTTTGGAAATTGTACATGATTCAACATAGGGCGAGCTGAGACTGTTGAGATAGCCGTTGTACCGTGAATCAAATCCTTCAATCACAAAGTAAAAAAACTAAGCTAATGGTGATAATTATAATGTATGCATGTATTGTACTCAATTGTATAAAACTGTACAAGAGTCCTCTATTTAAAGAGGTTAAATGACCTAATGGGCTAAGCCCAAATAACCTTCTAGAATAATAAACTAATAATAATAAAGCTAATATTATTTCTAACACTCCCCCTCAAGCTGGTGCGTATATATCATAAGCACCCAGCTTGTTACATATATGATCTATTCGGGGACCTCTAAGAGCCTTGGTGAAAACATCCGCAAGTTGATCACTGGAATTAACAAATGCTGTCTCGATCTCGCCTGACTGAATCTTCTCTCTAACAAAGTGACAATCAATTTCTATATGTTTAGTCCTCTCATGAAAGACTGGGTTAGAGGATTTGTGCAATGCGCCTTGATTGTCACAAATGAGTTTCATGGGCTGTTGTTCACAGAGATGTAATTCCTTAAGCAATTGCTTTAGCCAGATGAGCTCACAGGTCGCATTTCCCATGGCCCGATATTCTGCCTCTGCACTTGATCTGGCAACCACAGTTTGCTTCTTACTCTTCCAAGAGATCAAATTTCCTCCGAGGAGAACACAATACCCCGAGGTGGATCGTCTGTCTGAAGGAGAACCTGCCCAGTCAGCATCTGAATAGCTAGACACTTCTGCATTCCCCTTATTAGTGTATAATAAACCTCTTCCTGGTGCCTTTTTGATATATCGAAGAATCCTGATAACTACATCCCAATGAGAGTCACAAGGAGAGTCAAGGAATTGACTTGCCACACTAACTGAAAAAGAAATGTCTGGTGTTGTCACAGTAAGATAGTTCAACTTTCCAACTAGTCGGCGGTAACGACCAGGGTCTGCCAATGGCTCCCCCTGTCCAGGTAATAACTTAATATTAGGATCCATAGGTGTATCAATGGGTTTACATCCCAACATACCAGTCTCATCTAAGATATCCAGTGCATACTTCCTCTGACAAATGGAAATGCCCTTCCTAGACTGTGCTACTTCGATTCCTAAGAAATATCGAAGTCTGCCAAGATCTTTGGTCTGAAACTGATTGAATAAGTACTTCTTTAATTGATCAATCCCAGCTTGATCGCTGCCAGTAATAATGATGTCATCGACATAGACCAGGAGATAGATGCGCTGGCCAGAAGAGTTATGCCGATAGAAGACAGAATGATCCGCTTTACTTCGGGTTAAATCGAAGGATTGAACAACGGAACTGAAGCGACTAAACCAGTCCCGAGGAGACCGCTTCAGGCCATATAAAGATTTACGAAGCTTGCATACCATGCCAGAACTATCCCCCTGAGCAACAAAACCTAGTGGTTGCTCCATATATACTTCCTCTTGCAAGTCACCATGTAAGAATGCATTTTTGATATCAAGTTGTAGAAGAGGCCATTGATGAATGGCAGCAAGTGCAAGAAATAGGCGAACAGATGCCATCTTGGCAACAGGAGAAAAAGTATCCCCATAGTCAAGACCAAATATCTGAGTGTATCCCTTGGCCACCAAACGAGCTTTGAGGCGATCAACAGTGCCATCAGGACCAACTTTGACAGTGAATACCCATCGACAACCGACAACTGACTTTTCAGGAGTAGCATGAACAAGATCCCATGTGCCACTGGAGTGAAGTGCTTGCATTTCATCAATCATTGCTTGACGCCAACCCGGATGAGAGAGTGCTTCACCTGTGATTTTAGGAATAGAAATAGACGAAATACTAGAAACAAAAGTAAAACGTGGTGAAGAAAGTCTATCATAACTCAAGAAACTATAAAGTGGATGAGGGTTACGAGTGGATCGAATACCTTTGCGAACGGCAATGGGAGTAATCTCTGATGGAGGATCCGGAGGGGAAGTGTCGACAGCAGCAGGCGGTGAGTCAGTAAGGGTCAAATCCGCAGGAGGAGCAGGTTGACGACGCTGATAGGTGAGAAAAGGACGGTCCGCAGGGATGCAGGCAAGGGGCTGCTCCTCCGGGATAGAGTCTCCTGCAACTGGTAAAGAAAAATCAAGAAAAGGAACAGGAAGAACTTGATCCACTTGTGTTATCTGAGATGGGATAGAATGAAAAGGTTGTTGATCAAGGAAAGTGACATCAGCTGAGACAATATAACGCTTGAGATCAGGAGAGTAGCAACGATACCCCTTTTGAAAACGAGTATATCCAAGGAAAATACACTTGAAGGCTTTGGATGTTAATTTATCTTTTCCTGGAGTAAGATCATGAACAAAGCAGGTACATCCAAATACATGTGGAGGTAGAGGATAGGAAGGTGCTCCTTGAAATAAAACACTAAGTGGAACTTCGTTATTGAGTACGGAAGAGGGCATGCGATTGATGAGAAAGCAAGAGGTGATTATAGCATCTGCCCAAAAACGAAGTGGAACATTCATATGAATTAGTAGGGTACGAGCAGTTTCAACCAGATGCCGATTCTTACATTCGGCCACTCCATTTTGTTGTGGAGTGTATGGACAAGTAGTCTGGTGTAATGTCCCACGTTTCTCCAAAAAATTAGAAAACTCAAGAGACACATATTCTTTTGCATCATCACTGCGCAAAATTTGAATAGAAGCACCAAATTGAGTATTTATCTCGGCACAAATTTTTTTATAAATTGAAAATAATTCAGAACGATTTTTCATTAAATAAACCCAAGTGCAACAAGAGAAATCATCAATAAAGGTGACAAAATACTGAAAACCCAAAACAGACATTGTTCGACTCGGACCCCAAATATCAGAATGAACAATAGAAAAAGGAGCATCAGCTCTTTTATTGACTCTATTAGCAAAGGAAGAGTGAGTGTGCTTTCCTTGCTGACAAGAATGACAGTTTAAAGACTTAAGACTGGATAAAAAGGGAACCATATGCCGAAGCTTGGAGAGGCTTGGATGACCCAGACGGCTGTGAATTAGCTCAGGAGACTCTGTGAGAGAACAGGCTACTGGAGAAGGTGGTGCAATCAGATAGTAGAGACCTCGTGACTCAATGCCCGCTCCAATCGTCTTCCCCGTACTCGAATCCTGCATAGAAAAGGATTGTTTAGAGAAGGTAACAGTACATGAAAGAAAATGAATCAACTGGCTAACAGAGATTAAATTAAAAGGAATGCCAGGTATATAATAAACAGAACGCAAAGTTAAAAGGGGAGTTGGATTGGCTTCCCCAATTCCACGAGCAAGAGCCTTAGTGCCATCAGCAAGAGTGACAGAGGGTAGGTTATTAGAATAAGAAAGTGAAGTGAAGAGATCTTTATTACCACAAAGATGATGAGTAGCACCTGAGTCTATTATCCAGGGTCCAAGAGATGATTGATAAAAACAAGCAACATGATTACCAGCGTTTTGAGTAGGATGCTGAGAAGAAACCTTCTTGAGAAGTGCCTCATAGTCGGCACTTGAAAGAGTTACTAATCCAGTAGAAGGTGGTGTAGCATCAGTTTGAGCAAAGTTGGCAGTCGGTGGCTTCAAATGAGGGTACTTCCTATAGCAGCGTTCTTCAAAATGCCCAAGATTCTGGCAATAATTGCAACGAGGCCTCTGTCGGCGGCCATGTCTGCGACCGCGTCCACTGTTCCAATTGGAATCACGGGCTCGAAAAAAGAATGGAGATGGGGTAGTACTGAAGATGATGCCAGTCGTGTTTTTGGAAGCATTACTTGAGCCCTCCATCACAAAATAAAATAAAAGAGATGACCATATTTGAAAATAGGAGAGGAAGGCGAGCTGTTCTGTCTCGGACTGGCCGAAAGTTTTTTTTTGTTTTTTTTTGCGTGAACAGTACCCGTACGGACACGTGAACAGTAAAATGTAAAACCGTACGAACGGTGAACAATAAATCTGTACGGACGTTATGAACAGTGGATCGTACGAACGATGAACAGTGGATCGTACTGGCGATGAACAATAAATCTGTACGAACTGTACGGACGCGGTGAACATTATTTTTTTATTTTTTTTTTGTAAACCCGCGTGAACAGTGTAGAACCAAGCGGGAGGGACGCACGGCGTTAGAGGAAGGAGAGAACGCCTAAGCAGTGGGCTTAGGGTTTTAGCGGAAGCCAAAAATCCCCAGAACAAAGAGCTCTGGTACCAAATTATAATGTATGAAAGTATTGTATTCAATTGTATAAAACTGTACAAGAGTTCTCTATTTAAAGAGGTTAAATGACCTAATGGGCTAAGCCCAAATAACCTTCTAGAATAATAAACTAATAATAATAAAACTAATATTATTTCTAACAGTGATCATATTACAATAAATATTTCCAGAGGAAAAAAATTGCTTTCAATTTGATTTGGCTGACCATGTAAGTATAAAATTTTGAGATTTAGCAGAGTGTAGCAGTTACTCTTGATTCAATTAACAAATAATAAGATACATCCATCCGTTTTCTCAGAAGACGTGTCCCCTTTAAGGATCCATAGTACACTTGAAAAGCAGCAATACTCATTATCCACTGGGAATTCATTTATGTTTTATTAAATCTTCTATGGAAGTAATTTCTACTAGTTTTGACTCATCCTTCCTTTATTAAGATAAATAGAAGAAACACATTAGCTGAAAAGGGTTATAGGCATGCTATCTTACATGCGAAACTGGATGAACATAGATCAACTGCCCGGAGCGTCCAACCGCAACCTGCACTCAGAAAGAAAGACAATATCTCGTTGACGGCTTATTCTTCAGCATATAAATAAACTATCTCCTAAACCAATTATTAGAATTAACAAAACTCAAATTAGATGGCACATGAGATCTTTTGGTACTTACGGCAGGAGAGCTTGGCTGCAAATAAGCATGTTCAGACAAAACAGGAGTGTAATGTGTAGCATACCGTACGGGAGGTGCCCTATGTGCCAGTGGTCCAACAATCTGTTGCCAAAGAAATGGGAAAATAACTAGAATGAGTACCTTAAAAGTATATGGTTATTGACAGTACCTGCATTTATGACATTTGGTATCAAATACACATGCTCATGCCAGCACGGATGCACACAATATACAGAATATCAGTAAATTTATTAATACATACAGGTTGTGAAAATTGAGAACCACTGCCACCATTTCCCACTGTCAAATTACTATAATGTGCAACCTTAACAGGCACCGAAGGTCGAGAAGCAAAAGTATTGAATCCAACTTCTGGTTGAACAGTAGTAACAGGTACCGGAGGTGAGCTATTTGGTATGTAAACCATGTTTGCAGCAGTTGTTGAAGAAGGATTTACAAAAGATGGAGAGAAGATTTTGGCTGCTGGGTTGAGCTTAAATTCCTAAAAGAATGTCAAATTGAGAAAAAGTTAAAAAGTATATCAACAACGATTTAGAAAAAGAATAATCATATTGTCTCAAAGGTGGCACTAGCTATTCTATAATGCTGCACAGGAAACCAAAATAAAATTTGTGAAGATTTAAATCAATACTCAAAAGATTTTAAAATGATAGATGACACATCTAACAAACAAAAAAAGAAAAGATAATGGATCACAAATTCAAAATGTTTAGGAATAGTACAGCTAACAGTTTGGTAGATGTATAGATAAGGTTAGTGAAGACCTGATGGATGATGATCCATGACAACATAGAAGTTTCCAAAATGACTTTATTTAATAAAATGCATCTAATATGCTTTTCAATGATGAATAAATCCTCCATCTACATCTTTTTATCAGGAGTTGTTTAGCCAGCAACTGTTGATTGAAGTTACTACCTTAGCATTTCTGGAAGAATGTGTACCCCTTGGAGCAGATATTTCAACAGATTTTGCTGGCAAATTATGTGACTCTGAGATGAGATCCACACCTTGGGTGGAATTTGTAGAAGCAGAGTCTGCTGAAGTAGACCTTTCATTACACCGACTGTTGGCTTTAACAGGCACAGGTACATTGTTGCAGAATAGCCCATTATTAGAAGGACTTGATGTCATATCTGTGCTTCCATGCTCAATAGCTTCCACTTGGACAAGACATGCATCAACTGCAATGGAAGTACAAAAGAGATAAATAAGAAGGGAAAACCCTCATCCTGTGCTAGGAAGAGGGAATTTAAGTAATACAAGGTGAGAGACCACAGGCCATGTCTCAAATCAGATTGGAGAGGAACAGGTGTTGGTTAACTAGAAAGAAAAGAGGTAACATTACATGAAAAGCTGAAGAAAAATGAACAAAAATAAAATGTTATCTTTTTCAGTAATTACAGCTTTGCAAAAGGGTATTGTGAAGGAGGAAAAAAATGCCCATACATAGAAAATTTCTTAAATAAATATATATATTGATATCAGGCTAACAAACAAACATGCTATATTGCACATTGTTTAACATACAAAAATTGCTAAAGAAATGCACAAAGTACAAGCTAACAAATATGTTGCATCATTACAAGTTATGCCATTTTGGTCGTTGGTGACTAAGGATAATTTTACATGCAGTAGAGATTGGAGAAACCTGACTCACTTTCATGGCTTGAATTGAGGCTTTGAATCTTTTCATCCTGTGCAAAATCACAGCTTTAGAATTAAAAAATTCAAAACACCAAAATGTCTAGAAAACCTACTTAGAATTACAAGCTATGCATATGTCAACATACAATTTTTCCGTTAACAAACTCAGATTTCTGTCTGCAGTCATCAGCTTTCCCTTTTGACTTGTCTTCTCCATCCTGTCTGTCAATAAAAAGTTGGCAGGAACCCAAGGATGAAAGAAAATAATGTCATAAATCTGTATTTATAAAAAACTTCTACTAGCAAATGAAAAGTTCTCATATTAAGATTTTTTACAAATTACAATCATACCATGATACCATCCCTTAGTAGCACAACATTTTATCTGCATGTTTACAGATTAATTGTGCCCCAGAAAGAAAAGCCTAAAGTGGAAACATCATATATAACACAAATGCAATAATTTAAATAAGCAAAATTTCATAAGTCCACTATAATTTAAGCTTTTATGATTGGCAATAAAATTATCTCAATATTTATTTAGTAAAAAAGTTCATTCTCTTTCAATTGTTCTTCTCCTTAAATTGGGTGAGTTAGAGGTGGGGGAAATTAAGGGGCATGGTAAGGAGGAACTCTAGAACAGTATTTGAACAAGTCTAGTGAAATCATATATTACAAAAAAGTACATCTAATTTATGTAGATAGCACTACTTAAATATCCATTTTCAAGTCAACAACAAAACAAGTACTCCAAGTATGTACATGATGTGGGAACATCGTTGGCCTATGAAGAAAATAAACATAGTTTTGACTGAAAATCATTTTCAATGCAACAAACAGTTGATTCAAGTATGATACCATTAAATTTGAAAACCACTTTATAAATTCAATGGTGACTCCCAATATGTCTAAGATAGGATTCCATCGGAAAGAGATAAAAATGGAAAGAAAATAGAATATTGTATTATTTATTGTAATATAAAATCATTAATATGGTCTTCACCTAACTGCTTCAACTTTTGGGTTGAATTGATTCTTTACAATTTAATGACGGAAATTTCAAAGCATTCGAGAGGTATCTAATCTTTCCAAATTCTATTCTCTCAATAGTCTCCCCATAACTGCTCTATTCTTCCCTATTTATCACAAATTCCTCATAAATAAAACATCAATCATCCTTAATTACATAGCCAATCACCCATATGCAATCCCATAACTACACAATCCATCACCCATAATTATAAAATCAATTACCCATAAATCAACTCCATAATTACATAATCAATCACCCATAAATCGATCCATTAAATATTGAATCAATCACCCATAATGGTTGATACCAATAATTAATATTGAATCACCCATAATTAATTGGGGTGTGATCTCCTAGATCTCTCCTTGCACTAAAGGAGGTTTCCTAATGATGGAACCAGAAAAATAACACTGAAATTATAGAGATAATGGAGGCCATGCCTCTTTTTACATACACTCATATGCAGAAAATAAACCCCAAGAAACCTCAATTCCCCTTCAAATCAACAGACCTAGGCTCAAAAGTTCCCTAGAGGTCTCCTAATTTTCCCACTAATCAAATACTAAATTCATGCATGCCTCACTACACACACACTCAACTTTTATCCTACTCACTAGAATATTCTAGAATAACTAATTAACTGACCCATTAATTTTTAGGCCCATTAATACTTCCCCCTCCAAAATTCACCTTGTCCTCAAGGTGAAGAAGAGGATGTGAAAGAACTTCCTCCCGAGTCCCATTGCTTGTAGCAACTAGACCACATTGGAAGTTTCAATTCCATTTTCTTTCCATAAACCTCACCGCACAACTTCAATGAACGGCTGGAAATGAAACCCACAATACTATGGACACTCAACCAGAAAGTCTTGCTATCCTCTCTATCTTCGCCGTTGCAGAGCTGCCCTTCCCCTTCTAGCTCAAGTTCATAGATACCCACCAGCATGACGTGGATGTGCTGCATTAGACCCACGTTTAGAGTCCCTACGGTTTGGGCTATAGATTGCAATCCCACTGCATTAGACCCACTTCGCCTATTTGTTCCTATTGGGCTTGGTTCGGTGCATCCTTCATTAAGCCCATTACTTGTGTGATGATTGGAGTTGTTATTCGCCCTATTAGTGGCAAGGGTTGGATGCATGTGGGTCCCTTCTCCAATATCTGCTCCATATCCATTATTCCCTAATGGGGACATGACCGGACCCTGCACCGTTTCGCTTTCTTCCACCAGATGATGCGATTCCTTGAGACAATTCAGATCAGTCACCATATGTAATCTCCTCTCTGCTTTGATTTCCTCCTTTTCTTGTTGTTGTTGTTCTTCATCTTTTTCTTTTTCCTCTTCTTCAACCTCTATCTTGTCTTCCTTTTGATCTCCTTCCTCTTCTCATACTTCTTTCTGAATCTGTTGAAAATACTCTGTTTGACTCTGTTTTCTGGTTTCAGAAACAGAGTCATCTTCTTCATTTCCTTCTTCTTCTGTTTTTTTTCTTTTGCTTCTACTTGTGCGATTTCTTTTGTATCTTCTTCCTCTGTCACTTCTGCATCTTCTTCTCCTTCTGCAACTTCTTCATTTTCAGCTTTGGCGTCGTCTTCTTCCTTCGCTTCTGTTGTCGCCTCTTCGTCTCCAGCAGCTTCTTCTTCTATATCTTCTTTTCCTTCTTCTGCATTTCCTTCTTTATCTTTTTTTTTTTTTTGATTTCTTCTTCTGCTCTTTTAATCCTTCCCTCTTCTGATTGTGTCTTTTTCTCTCCTTTTTTTCTTCTTTCCCTGCTGCTGCCTTTTCTTTCTTTTTCTGGTTTTCTTCTTCTTCATTTTTAAAATGCAGCGACTTCATCTTCTCGTTTTCCAATCTCCGTGTTCTCAACCACCCAATTGTTTCATCTAACACCTTCATCATTTTTTCTAAACCTTCCTTACGCTCAGTTATTCTTACCATTTTATTTTTCTCCTAGATCTGGACCAAAAGCACCCCCTAGATCGGACGTGCTTTGATACCAAATTGATAGAACCAGAAAAATAACAGTGAAATTATAGAGATAATGGAGGCCATGCCTCTTTTTACATACACTCATACGCAGAAAATAAACCCCAAGAAAACTCAACTCCCCCTCAAACCAACAGACCTAGGCTCAAGAGTTCCATAGAGGTTTCCTAATTTCCCCACTAATCCAATACTAAATTCATGCATGCCTCACTACACACACTCATCTTTTATCCTACTCACTAGAATATTCTAGAATAACTAACTAACTGACCCACTAATTTTTAGGTCCATTACCTTACAATACTCACGCCCAAAAGATTCACCTTGTCCTCAAGGTGAGAGTCAAACCGGCAGAAATCCCTCCCCCAGCATCGCACTACGTAAAATGTAGGGATCAACTTATGTATGAAGCATAATAACCTCCACTGGGATCCCATTTCTCTTCTGCAACTTCTTTCATGAACTCCTTCAATATGCCAACATGAAAACTATTATACGTTAAAAACCTTGACATCTACAACTAATTCATGCCATTCAACATGGTGCCCATCCCAAATGAACTACCACCAACACGCTCAAACCATTGCAAATGATGATTCAAGATTCACATATCTTACAATATTCCCAGCTCACAAACTACCCTTGTTTTCAATTATTTTGTCAACTTATTTTAGTTTTGACTGGCTAGATGAACTAAGTATAGATTGCTTGTAAGTATTTTTTTCCAGAGAACTTCCCGTTACGATCATCTCATTGTTAGAAGTCTCTTGTTCTACAAATGAATCTTCACCAAACCTAGGATATTCATCTAATGATGATTTAGTGGCAGTGGTGAGCTTTAGAAGTGGCTGGGTGGTGAGCTTCAGAAACATCTTCATGGGTGGTAGGAAAAGTTGGACCAACAACAGCACCTTCCTATCTTCCCTTGTAAACCAAAAGGAATTAGAGGTGGTTTTGGTGTGGATGGCAGGTTGGCTCCCTCCACCGATGGCGTTCGTTGGCGTAACCCGCACTCCTTTCTGTAACATCCCGAGCGCCGGTGCGAAAAGGCATGGACAAGGAGCGGCTCCTGACAGCCTTCCAGCTGGGGGTTACATGAACGAATGAATCGAATCGTCACCCGAAAGAGAGGGATTCCAAAGACTGTGCAGGTATGAGGCTGCACAGTTTGGGATAGCTTATAAGAATTAATTGGTACTACTTATACTAACAAGATGCATCTGCTTTTCAGTAGCCCGGAACGGAAGAACTCCATAGTTAAGCGTGCTTGACTTGGAGCAATTCTGGGATGGGTGACCTCCTCGGAAGTTTTCCCGCGAAGTGTGCGAGTGAGAAAAAAGCACACTGAAAAGTCTCGTGTTAGTATGTGCGGATAGTCGTTGATTCTTGAAGCGGTCGGGCGTTACAAGTGGTATCAGAGAAGGGCCTCTCTTCCGGTACGGTGTGGTTCGAGGACGAACCAGGAGGAAGCTGGTGGGCATGTAACATCCCGAGCGCTGACGAGGGCGGGGAGTGATCGCCGGTGCGAAAGGGCATGGACAAGGAGCGGCTCCTGACAGGCTTCCAGCTGGGGGTTACATGAACGAATGAATTGAATCGACACCTGAAAGAGAGGGATTCCAAAGACTGTGCAAGTGCGAGACGAGAAGTTTTCCCGAGAAGTGTGCAAGTGAGGAAAAAGCACACTGAAAAGCCTCGTGTTAGTATGTGCGGATAGTCGTTGATTCTTGAAGCGGCCGGGCGTTACAAGTGGTATCAGAGCAGGGCCTCTCTTCCAGTACGGTGTGGTTCGAGGACGAACCAGGCGGAAGCTGGTGGGCATGTAACATCCTGAGCGCTGACGAGGGCGGGGAGTGATCGCCGGTGCGAAAAGGCATGGACAAGGAGCGGCTCCTGACAGGCTTCCAGCTGGGGGTTACATGAACGAATGAATCGATTCAACACCCGAAAGAGAGGGATTCCAAAGACTGTGCAGGTATGAGGCTGCACAGTTTGGGATAGCTTATAAGAATTAATTGGTACTACTTATACTAACAAGATGCATCTGCTTTTCGGTAGCCCGGAATGGAAGAACTCCATAGTTAAGCGTGCTTGACTTGGAGCAATTCTGAGATGGGTGACCTCCTGGGAAGTTTTCCCGGGAAGTGTGCGAGTGAGGAAAAAGCACACTGGAAAGTCTCGTGTTAGTATGTGGGGATAGTCGTTGATTCTTGAAGCGGCCAGGCGTTACACTTTCACTCATTTCGCATGTGTTTGACCATTCATGTATGACTTATCTTCTTCCTTGTTGGCTTCCTTTTCATGCGCGCATCGAAGAGATCTTCAATCTCCTTACTCTCTTCTTCGCCAAGCTCATGCCTCTTCTCTTTCCGCATCTCCTTTTTAGACTTTGGTTGTTAAGTTTCTATTTCGTCATCACAAAGATATATCGCACTCGGTCGAAAATGCTTGAGCACTACCTTGAAGAAACCCCACCATGTCCTTTCAAGGCTTTTGTGGCTTTAAGAATCTTCTCGACATCATTTGCTTTTTGTACTGTAAAATGTTGCTCAACATTGATCAGCCACCAATAGACTTCTTCCCCGTCAAATTCCGGAATCATCTTTAATCTGATACCAAGCTCCTAAATCAAGAGATCCGATACCAATGGATAGGATTTAACTGGAAAGATATAAAAATGGAAAGAAAATAGAGTATTCTATTATTTAACGACAGAAATTTAATGGCGTTCCAGAGGCACCTGATTTCTCTGTTTCAAGGATTTCAAGAGGCACTTGATCTCTCCAAATTCTACTCTCAATAATCTCCCCATGACCTCCCCCTTCTCCCCTATTTATCACAGATTCCTCATAAATAAAAGATCAACCACTCCTAATTACGGAATAAATCACCCTTAATTACATAGCCTATCACCCATAATGTAATGCCATAACTACATACACAATCACCCATAATTATAGAATCAATTACCCATAAATTGACCCCATAATTACATAAACAATCACCCATAAACCGATACATTAAATATTAAATCAATCACCCTTAATGATTAATACCAATAATTAATTGGGATATGATCCCCTATATCTCTCCCTGCACTAAAGGAGGTTTCCTAACAACCTATAATATATTTTTTTCTTTTTTAATTTTTATGGTAAGAAACTGAGAATTAGAGAAGAATTTTATATTATTCCAGTTTCTTTTGTTCTATCATGAAATACATTATTTTTAACAAACTGCCAGTAAATATGTCGCAAATAAATACTAAAGCTTACAATGTGTCAACCATACACTACTAGAGATAGGCAGACAAGATGACTATGCTATATGTATTTTATTTATTTATTTATTTATTCATTGGTGAACCTATGCTATATGTATTTTGCTAGCTTAATAAGATGGCAAATCCCTAAGCAACCTGCAAACTCAATTTGTGAGTGTTTGAATGTATTAACAAGGTTCCAAATATCGGAACTATTGATTCTTAATGTAAATGCAAATGGAAGAAAAGCACATTCACTTATTCAAATCAAAATTTTACAGAAAAACTAAATTAACAATAACATCCTTTAGAGGATTTGTTCTTCTGCATTAAAATGCATAAACCAAAAGCTAAGATGGCCATTGGCAAGCAAAGAATATACAGTCAATGCTTCTGTCGGAGTTGGTTATATAACATGATAAAAAATTAACTTGAGTATGCTACTATGCCTAACACACATCTCTCTATCCATGTGAATGAATTTAATAGAAGATAGTACCTTGATTGATTAAACTGTTCTGCATCCATCAAAGGTCTTGTATGATTCCCTATCTCACATGAAAGACTCTCGGAACAACAAACACTGTGCACAACTGCTTCCTCATCATCACCAGTTATATTTCCATCAATGCCATCTGCAGAAAGCATTACTCCCTATGCACAAAGCCATGTGTACATTAAGCATGTAGTTACATTATAATCTAGATTTGTTTGGACTCATAAAAGACGCATTGTAAGAATATGACTTACCTTAGCAACAACTTGCACAAGATCACCTGGTAGAATCACTAGCGTATCTACCAAGCCCTCCTTTCCCACATTGGTGTTTCCCTTTCCCTTCTTAATCATCCTTGCTTTCTTCAAAACAATACCTAAACATGGCACAAAGTAAGGGAATGCTCATGAGTTTCGAATTATAAAACATCAACGTCACCTTTATCCAGAACAAGTAGGGGTCAACATTTTTAAGTATACAACAGATGAACTAAAATGTAAATAGGGTTCTACTCAAAATTAAATAATTATCCAACAAGATCAATCTTATGATTTTCTTATTCCCAGCAGTTAAAGAAAATTATAGCAGAAACAAGTCCATTAAATAACCCCAAGATTCAATAGTAAAACAAATACAATTCGAAGAAATTTTTTTGATGAATGAATCACTAATTCAATGCCAAAAATTTTCTCAGCTAATAAGAGCAAAACAAAATGAATGACAGCCAAAAACTATCGACTGTCTTAGGATCCACAATCATGTTTCAGCAAACCGGTTACTATTACCAGGCAGTGAAAGAAACAGGAGCAAAAAAGAAGAAGAAGAAGAAAAAAAAAGCCACCCCAGATGAAAATTACACATGATTATTGAAGGAGGGTCATGGGAATTGGCCAAAATATGAAATTTCTCAAAACCCATTTGAGCTTCAAATGAAATCAATGCAGAAGAAAGAGAGATAGAAAGAATATTCACCATAATCGGCGTCAACAGAAGCAGTGTGGAAGATTCCAGAATACACAGAACCATCCTTAACGTGAACATCAACTGGGAGACCAATGATGCACATGGTGGCGAAGAGCAAGGCCTCGTTAAATGATGCCCAAGATGAAGAAGAAGAAGAAGTGTGATCCTCTGTGAACAATTCCCTGCTTCTGCAACCCATCTCGAATACCTTCTCTTTCTGAGTGTATAGAAGCTTCTTCTTCTTCTTCTTCCGCTGCTGTTGCTATGAATGAAAGAAAGAGATCTGGGAAATGCAAAAACGAGTTTGTTCAGAGAAAGAGCACAACATAACACTTTCCTTATGTTATTCATGAAGGAAAATAATTGTCTTTAATTGAAGTGAGAGAAAGAAATATTTAGCAAATTTTTTATTAAACGTGGGTCTTAATTTTTTATGGTAATAATAAAACAGAATAATATTTTCGTAATTATTACAGAAAAGTTATCTGTATTTATTTTTAAAATAATTTTATTTTAAGATTGAAAAATTAAATTATTATAATTATTATAATAATTTAAAATTACAAAAACACCATGATTTCTGTTCTAAAATAATATTGTGTTAAATTTACTATAAATAATTTTATTTGCAGTAATTATAAAAGAAATGAACTCATAAAAAAAATAAGATGCGTCCAATTAAATGACACAGCTTTTTCTTGATGAAATGTTTCTTTGTTCTTTCTCCAACCTAATTTACGAGGATTCTTCGGTTTGCAATATGACCACTATTTCGTACAATAATTCAACTAGTGCCCAGTTCTTACCCTTTGTAAATAAATACATGGATATACAAAAAAAAATAAAAATAAATACATGAAAGGATGAACTTAATATTTCCTAATTTTTTTTTATTATTATTATGATTTCATCGTATCTAATTATTCACGTGAATAATAAATTAAAAAAAAAAGTCACGAAAGAACTAACTATTCACGTAAATAATAAATTATAGTCATACAAAAATAACTGATAATAAATATATAATTTACAGTCATCTCTCTCGAAAAAATAGAAGATTCCGATAAAAAGAATATATACAACTTACATCCGTATAACTTTATATTCTTTTCTCGGGTTATAAAAAATATTCTGATATTAAATTAGTGAGCTGTGTAAAGGTGGGAATCTCCACACTAAAAAGACAAATCTCCCAACTCATATTTATATATATAGGGTAAATGAAATGTTATATCATATGATGTATTATAATTTTTCTATACACACAATTATATGTGACCCTTATCCTTTGATTTTTCTCTTTTTTCTCTTCTCTTTTCTCTCTTTTTTTAATTGTGGGTAAGAAAGTTATGTTATATAATAGGAGTGTGATACCTTATTGGAAATGTAATTGAGTCTTAAACAACATACTAAAATATGATAGGCTTGTATCCACTAAACCTCTCGCAATGTCCAAAGACTGAACTATGTTCGGTTATGCAAAAACCGTAAAAATGAGATTTATGCTAAGTGAGTTTATGGGAATTCCTTAGTGACTTGAGAGAAGCATTATATAATAGTTAGGCATTTATTGTAATTATTCCACATTTAGATTTTAGTTATGATCACAGCTTTTATCATTACGTTTTATTATTGTTTTTAAATGCTTACGTTTTAAATGTTTTTAAATTTACTCGCATTTTTAAATAAACTGCTGTGATTGTAACTGCGCTTAATATCATAATCAATGTTAACAATACCGGTGTACAACGGGCTATTATATGTACAGTCTCATACCTGCACAAGCTTCATGATTATTTTACCTGTATCGATTCTATCTGTTGCTGCAATTAACAGCACTGATCTATCGAGATATGATCATTTGGACCATTCTGAACAGAAACTTATGGATAATATAACGGCTGTAATTTGGACAAATCTAGGGAATAATCCCACATCTTTGTAATACTTGATATCAAATAATCTAGACAAATAATATATCTATATTTTCTGACTCAGAATTCATCAATGAATTCCTACAGAATTTGGCTCAGTGCCAATCCTTAACATAATCAAAATTGTTAACTTTAAACTTACAGCAGATAAATACAGATATCTAAAATACCTCATATACTGAACTATATGGCTCTATGCCAATACAAATAAACATACAGAAACTAATATCCAATACATACCAAAGTATATAAGGCTACACATGCCTCTCAAAATGAATATCAAATATAAACATGCGTAATCATTATTCATGCCTCAAAATGAATATATACACATATAATAAAACATCTATTCCAGCTCTAACTCTAGCTACTCTGCACAGGCCTCTTGTCCTGAGATGACTAATCAACAACTGTTGGAGTACCTGAAATGAAAGTCCCTAAATGGGTGAGATTTCAACTATCTCAATGAACTCAGGGTTTATGGAGAAGTCTCCACCCATGAGTTCACTTCTTGTATGAAAGGTTAGATACATAGTATAGCATACATCATACAAGCATAACTAAACTCAGACCATAAGTCTTTACAGATATCTCTGAGGACCTATGTCTCTCTAGAGCAACCAGAGCCAACCGTTAATAGGAGTACTCATGGCTATATATGATTTGTTCATTGGCTAAGAACTATCATATACACTCATATACATATATTCATATTATATCATATCACATCATATTATCACCTACATGAATGCAATACACTAAGTATCCAACATCATAAACATCAACACATAGATATACCATCAAGATCATTAAATTGGTAGAACAAACATAGAGGAAGAATCCTCCTAATCCAAAAGCTTACCTCTTGTAGCTTCTATAGCAAGCTTACTTGAACACAAGTAACTAGGTCAAATCCTCAGAACTCTGATCTGGAATCACTGTATCTCTTGATTCACCCCTGTTATCCATATATATATATATATATATATAGGGATAGGATCAACTTACACCGGTGTAAGAATAATAAATCTTACACCAAATCTTAACCGTTGATTTCCGTGCATCCAATGGTTGAGATTTATTGGGAATTAAAAATTAATTAATGAGTGAGACCTAATAAATCTTAACCGTTAGATGTAGAAAATCAATGATTAAGATTTGGTGTAAGATTTATTATTCTTACACCGGTGTAAGATGATCTTGCCCCATATATATATATATATATATATATATATATATATATATATATATCAAATTTGACTTTAGCACATCCAAATATATCACAAGACTTATATCTTGTCAATTCCACATTTCATGCCCATACCACAAGTCAAACCTAGACCCTAATAATTGACATTCTATCACATAATGTTAAACTTGTATACAAATATCATCAATTAAAGATTTAACTCCTTAAACGCACTTAAAACTTACTTCAATTAAGTTTCTAGACTTAATTATTAATTAACTTCAATTCCAACCATAATAAACCCTATATGGCCGAACCCTAGTAGGTTCTTAACATACATTTCCCAAGTTTTTACTACATCATTCTATGTTCCATTTAACATTTAGCATGCATCACAAACATACACTTAACTTAAACTTCAAAATCATTAGTCGAATGACTGTTTTAAGTGTCAAATGACTTTCATACATTCAAACACTTAATTTGATAATTGCATTACACTTTACTACACACCAAATCTACTTAGTATCATTCCATATAAATTACACACTTTTGATACCCTATTAAACCTCAAGTGGCCAAAATGCCTAGGTTAGGTTTTTATAACCTTTTCACATTCAGACTTTAACCAATGACCTCAAATACTTAGTTAATTATTGAATCCATGTTTCACATACTCATTTAATCAAACAAAATACAAACCCTAATTTTTACTATTCATGGCCGAATTGGCCTTTTGAAGAAATACCATCTTGCATGCATTTTCTTAGCTTGTATTTACTTGATTTAACTTGAAATAAATAGATAACAATAAACAACATCAACAACATATAAACCCTAATTTATTTAGTGATGGCTGAATCATACATATCACCAAATGTTTATGAACTTCATTATATTTTCATTACTTGCATCGTTAATGTAACATCCCGCATAATTATGAACCTATATGAATTATAATCTAGAATGCGAAACATGCTTGAAATTTGAATTAAATTTTATGTTAGAGTGGAATTAATTTAATTAGGAAAAAAAATTACTCTAATGGAAATTATTAGGAATAACCATGTATATTTTCGAAACTTAAATTCTAGTACATAAGATGGGTGATCTTTAGGAATGTATTTAAAATACCATGAATTGAAATTCTAAGCGTGTATAGGATAGAAATACTCTTAAGCATCCCTTATAAAAAAACTCTAGTCACAACTTATACCTACATGAACTAATATGGCTTAAGCAAATTATTGGGTTTAAATTTCTCTTAGGGCCACGGCCCAAGTCCTTGGGGAGAGGGGGTTTTATGATCAGCCCTAAGCCTCTTTTAAAATCATCCATCTAATTTTCATGAGTGAAATCTGAATGAAAAATCCTTATTGGTCCAATTCTTCTGCATGTGTGCTCATTGGGCGAACAAAAACACACCATCCTTTCCCTATGCTCCTTCCACCGTACACACAAGGGAGAGGTGGCAAGTCTGTTAGTTGTGGTAACTTTGGCTGAACCTTAGTGCAGAGTGTGTGGCCATAGTGCTATTTTTTCCTATGCGTTGCAACAGTCAGCCCTAGGATACTTGTTAACCCCTGCTGAGAACCACTTGCAGCCCCCATTGTCTCCCAAGGCCGTGAGCTCCGTAGGAGAGCACCAAGAGTCCAGATTTCAATTCATCTCTTTCATCACTCTACCTAGACCGTGAGCTACAAGAGAACAACGGTCACATAAGTTTCCAAGGTCATTCTCCTTCTCTTTCGACCGAAGACACTTAAGCTAGGATGGTGAGTTGATTTTATTATCTGACCGATTCTAATGGAGTCCGTTTCGCTCATTGTCCGTTCTTGTACAAGCCGTGGCTGAGTTCATTCCCCTTCGCATGCAACCGGATTCAAGCTCTTAAAATTTAGAAATGGTTGAAGGGAAACTTCAGGGAGCAAAAGGTCCAGCAACGGAGGGACTACTCCTTCCTTTGCATGCGGCTGAAGGCACGGTTCCTACTAGTGAAAATGGCCATCCTAAGTTCTGCACTATCCTCCATTACACGATAGAAAAAGTAAGCCCTCCCTAGCTCCTTTTTGGTCTCTGGTTTCAGCGCATAGGATGTTGGAGTGAACCGTTCCCTATCTTATTTCTGTTTTAATTCTTTGGCATGGTGAGAGACGGTGATGATACTCCAAAATTTGGTGACTGTTGTCTGCATCTATTTTAAGAGAAACAT